TACCTTGTTGGAGAAGAATTCTTTGCCGAGGCCGTAGAATTTTTTCGACATTTTTTCGGATTTTTTTTGATGCTCGAATCGTTCGTTGAAGTTCGGAAAATTTAGAGAGATAAAGTTTAGAGAGATGAAATCCAAAAAAAGGTTAAGGGCAAAAGAGTAATTGGGGGGGGGCGGTGACAAGTAAAAGGGGGGCGGTGAATAGCAGTTGAGTTGTAACCGAAGAAAAATGAATAGTCATCTGAATGTCGGGAAATTTACATATATAGACTCCCTATAAGAAATATTTACACATTTGCGTTCTATATAAACTTTTATCAAAGTGGGATTTGGATGTAATATTTTTTTTCCATATTTATTCTCACACATACTGATCGTTTTCTCTCTGCATATTTCTCACGGCGAAAGAACAACAACTAAAACGAAAATTTGAGAGAAAAAAATACTAAATCTGATACCTTGAATTAAAGGATTCACAATTTTAAAATTTCAAACGGTTAATTGACATTTTGAATTCAAAAAAAAAAAAAAAATTGTCCAACCACCAAATATATGTTCAGATATATTGTATATATACATCAGATAAACATGAACTCGTAGTTCTCTATTATTAACTGTATAGTTATACATAAGATAAAAAATATATAAACAATTCTGAAACGGGATTAAACATAATACACAATTATGAATGACTGTAAAATCTAAATCGAATGTAGTTATACATAAGATAAACAACATATAAACAATTCTGAAATGAGATTGATTGATGTCACCACTCCCAACGACATCCCTTCATCTCCTCCACGAGTCCTGGTGCATCTTCGATGTTGCACGGGTGAATCATAGCATTGCTTGAAGCCGGTCGACGGATTGATTGATTTTAGTTCCTATTTCGTATTTGAATGAAGATATGAACCATAACAAGAAAAAGAGGAGTTGGGTCGGCGAGAGGCATCAGAAGTGCTGATCTTTGATCTGTTTTCGTTACCCGCCATACAAATCTCCATTCGCAACTCTTACCGGGTCACGACCTTCTCAGCCGTCGCCGTCAAAAAGGTGATGGGGGTGGGTGGTCTACAATTGATAAAAATGAATTCGAAAAAGAAAAAAAAAATAGAGGAAATTGATTGATACTTGGTTGCCGATTTCGTCTTGCTCTTGTGCAGCTTGAGTTGCCGCGTGAAGAAATAGATAGAGAAAGAATAAAGAGAACAAGAATGCGGAAAGTTCGAGAGAGAGAGAGAGAGAGTGAGAGAAATGACAACTAAATATATAGATTAAATATCTCGTATTTGTGATGAAAGCATTTTATAATTTTAATATTATTTGCCAAATCATTAATAAGGGGATTAATTTTCTCACCAAATTACCCGTATGTCCTCAACCAAAATTTACCCCAACAACAACCCGAGTAGCATAACTTTGTGTATAAGAAACCAAATTGTGTATAAGAAACCAAATAGGAGAGCCCATTACGCAAAAGGAAGAATCCTCAACCACTCCTCCCTTATCAATCAAACTCTTTGTCGCTTATCCATCTATAAATCAATAAGCTATCACCTTTTCTTTATTCATTGTATCTATTTTTTAATTATTTATCTCGCACTCCATAACAGTGTTTCCCAATTTGAGAAATTCACTCCCTCAATCTTCTTCTTCTTCTTCCTTTTCGCCGGAACCCTGGATTTTAAGTAAGGCCTCCTTTTTGTTCATCTTTTCCTGTTAAATTGCGAGGGTTAAGAACCCGTGGAAGACAAACTTGCGGGCATCACGGCTTTATCAAGAGCAAATCGGATTTTTATACATGTCCGGGCAGTACGGCGCAAGGGTTGTGTGACCGAGAGCAACCCTTCGCCGCACGGTGGACGTGGCGCTCTTCCCTCCAATGGCGGAAGCCCCTCCGATCTACTCTTCCTTGCCGGCGGCGGTCACCTCTTCTGTTAGCTCCCCTAGTTTCGAGTAGATTTTTTTGTTTACTTGTTATTTATCATATGCCAGTATTGTTCTAGTAACCGGTTGGCGATTCATCTGATTTTAACAAGAAACGGAGTATAATTTCATTTGTGAGAGTACTGTACGTCTTTTATGATGATGCTGAAGATTAAGAGGGTTCCTACTGTGGTTTCAAATTACCAAAAGGAAGACACGGAGGATGGCGGCCACCATGCAGCCGGCTGCGGCCGCAATTGCTTCAGAAGCTGCTGTCTTCCCGGTAAAATTTCTTACTTTTCAAATTTACCTGTTTTTCCCTCTTTGTTGTATAAATTAAAATGTACACTGGATTAGGGGCAAAACTACCTCTGTACGAGTTTAAGAATGGAAATAAGGTTGTTTCTGAAAAGAGTTTGATTAGCTCTGAGAACGAACAGCCTCCAGTGGAGTTCTTGGATTCCCTTCTGCTGGGGGAGGTAAATAATAATTCACTGTGAAATAACTACTTAATATGTTTTAAGTATTTTTGTGATGGCTGTATTGAATTTTATTGGGAATTTTTTTATGGTAGTGGGAGGATCGTATGCAGAGAGGACTCTTTCGTTATGATGTCACTGCTTGCGAAACCAAGGTTTGTTATATACGCTCATCTTAATTTTTCACTCTGAGGTTTGTTCATTTTTTGTATTTTTTAATTACTGTACTATCTGCTCAAGAACTTTACACTCATCTTATATAAGAGAGTACTCCGTGATACTTATGTTGCCCCAACTGTTACTGAATGAAAGATAATGTGGCCCACAGGCAATTCCTGGAAAATACGGGTTTATTGCGCAGATAAACGAGGGAAGGCACCTGAAAAAGAGGCCGACAGAGTTTCGAGTTGATAAAGTCTTGCAGCCATTTGACGATAACAAGTTCAACTTCACAAAGGTTGGCCAAGAAGAGGCACTCTTCCAATTTCGAGCTTCCTCGGAAGACAATGTTGCCCGATTTTTCCCAAACGCACCAATTGATGCTGAGAACTCGCCCAGCATCGTCGCTATTAATGCATGTGACCCATACCATTTTTCTACTTTCTATTTTCATCGAATTTTATTTTTTAGTTTTATTTGCTATTTCAAGTGTAACATATTGATTTTTTTTTTAAAAAAAAATATTGCACGTTTTTTACAGGTCAGCCCAATTGAGTATGGGCACGTACTGCTCATCCCCCGGATTCTCGAATGCCTGCCCCAGATGATCGACCATGAGAGCTTCTTGCTAGCTCTTCACATGGCTGTTGAAGCCGGAAATCCCTACTTCCGCTTGGGCTACAACAGCTTGGGTGCATTTGCCACCATCAATCACCTTCATTTCCAGGCATACTACTTGGCCTTATCTTTCCCAGTTGAAAGAGCTCCTTTGAAGGAAATAATCACCACGAGTGGTGGTGTGAGAATCTCGTACATCCTCGAGTATCCGGTCAGAGGCTTCGTCTTTGAGGGTGGGAACACTCTGGAGGATTTATCAAGAGTTGTATCAAGTGCCTGCATCTGCCTACAAGAGAATAACTTACCCTACAATGTGCTCATTGCTGATTCTGGAAATCGAATTTTCCTCTTCCCACAGGTGACAATATACATATGTATGTGTGACTATATGTTAAGGCTGCGAAGGGGATGATTTCGCTAGCAAATAATTTCTTCCACTTGTGAATATTATGAAAAATAGTTCAGACGAAAATGAGACATTTTGTGGGGGTGTGAACGATATAAAATTTGGAAATGTATTTATTAAAATTGACATGGTAATGAAATTCTGCAATAATGAGTGGTCACAGATATGCCAACGGATGATAGTAAATTGCGTATGATGATTGGTTTTATATTTTAAAAGTAGTGTTGATAGGATGGAGGGAGAGAAAGTGAGATAAGTGGTTAACCAATTGCAACTTCATTGGGAAAATCTCTGGCAGAATGAAAAACGAACTTTTGTATACAGTCATAGCCAAACAACTTCATCGTCACTCTTATTGCATCTGAATTGTTTTGTCATGCTGTACTTAAATTTGTGGCTCAGTGTTATGCAGAGAAACAAGCTCTGGGTGAAGTGAGTGCTGAGGTACTCGAAACTCAGGTTAATCCTGCTGTTTGGGAGATAAGTGGACATATGGTCTTGAAGAGAAAAGAGGATTACGAGAATGCGTCCGAAGAAAATGCTTGGAGACTTCTGGCTGAGGCTTCTTTGTCTGAAGAGAGGCTTCAGGAAGTGAAGGAGCTTATATTTGAAGCCATATGCAACTACATTGTGGAGAATAAGGTTGTGAATGAGACCACATTTGTTGAGGAAATGGCCTGTGAGGATGTGGATGACATCAAAGGCTCTCAGGCTACAGTGGTGGTGCCCGTGTAGCTGAGTGAGTATTACCTGGATGTTATGTACAGTAATATTAGAAGTGAACTCGGAAGTTCTCCATGGTTTCACTTCAGAATTTGCGTGAATAAATTTCCAACTTTGTTTGCCCAGTTGGATTATGTATAAGGTATGCCAGCCTGCCCGGTTCAACATGTGCATGTTATGGTTTGTGTATAATTATTGTGTGTTATGAATATTTCGATCAGACCTTGAACAAGTCAGAAATTAATTTGGTTTGCATCAAATATGGTTTCCACTGTTTTAAATTCGTTGTCCATATGCTATAGCTATAGCAAACCAATATGCCCAATAAGTGCATTATGCTTGATCCATCCGATACGTATAGCTATACTGCATGGCTGCATGCAAATATAAAATGCAAATACTGACATGATTTTCTTTAGTTAACTTGAGGTCTGTTCGTTAGATAATGACTATGTTTGGCAAATTTAGTTGATAAGGTAGTTTATAAGGTTATGTTTGATATACTTGGCTGATAAGCTAGCAGATCATAAGTGAATTTCGAGCTTATACCTGATAGTTTATGGTTTATGGCTGAAAATTTAGCAGATACGATAAGTGTTTGGTAAAATTAGCTGATAAGCCAGTTGAATTAAAATTCAACTGATTTATTTGAAAAGCTAACCAAGGAAACTTAAGATAAGCTCGAGCTTTTTACAAAAATTCATATTTGTTTACAGAAAGCTTATAGACTAACCAAATAAGCTACAAGATAGCTTATAGTGTTACTAAACGCACTCTAAGTGAATTCCATCTCTGGCCAATCGTTAAAACCTGCCACACGCAACCTCTTAACACTATATTCTTATATAAACTCACCCTACTCCTTGTCTATCTTTTGAAATTCATAACATGTGTTCCTTGTTCACCTCTGTTCATCACCTTGGTTGGCGCCAAAAGCTCTTCTAAGAGGTCCTGTCCTTCGTACAAAAGGTTTAAGGTTAAGGCAAATAAGGCTCAATATACGACTACTACTACCTCTCCACCAGTGTCCTCAGCGGAGACGACGACATCTGACACTCTGATTGTCGATGTTCTTGTGAGTTTTACGCCTCTCTTGCCTTCACCAATGAAATCCGCGGCCTCTATCGACACGTTTGCTCCACCACCACCAGGTTCCAACGCAGTCCCAATGAAGTTCCATCACCCATGTCACCGTCTAAGGGGAAGACATCATCAATTCATACTGCTGTCACCACCGTAACCAAATCCACTGGCCCTCTAATAAGGCTGATGATGAAGAGAACACAAAGACCAAATCTTCCTCATCTGATTCACCATAGACTGAAGTTAAAAAGGATGTTCCAACTACGGTTGAGATCACTTCTGACCAAGACTGCACCGGCTGCATAGTGTCCTGCATAGGTCCTGTGGTTCGCCGCTCCAGCCGCCATAAGGGTAAGAAGAAGGTCGTTGACGATGAGATTACCGACCAACCTTAGATTGATTCCTATGATCTTTCATTCGCTTTTGCATGGTATACGTTGTATATCCAAAACTTTGTTCTTCTTTATGTTCTTAGATTATATTGTGTTCATTGGTGGGTGTTCTTACTTCACAGGATGAGATTAGATCTAACCCGTGTGTTTGAACATGGATATATTTTTGCTTGTTGTTTTTCTTGAACGTTTGTTGTAGGTCATCTTCAAGATATTATTTTCAAATTGAATGCCAAATAGGGAGATTATAAGATTTATTTTTTGCAGGAGTTCTAAAATAATATCTTGATGAGTTTCTTGCAAGCAAATGAATTAAAAGGATGATCCATTCTCTCTCTTCTATTTATGTATCTATAGATTCTATATTTCTTTTATAAAACGTTGAGTGCTTAGGGATTAAGTACTTGTTTAGCATTGAGAGATCTAAGAGGCTTTTAAGTTTATTTTGTGCTCGAGATCCATGAATACTAGTGCGTACTATACTATACGGCTTAATAATATAATTATGTTCTGTGTGAGCCATTTATCATTTATGTCCCTCATGTTTTCCACTCATAAATACGAAGGAACGTACAATGTCCCATCCCTATTTGAGGTCCCATCCCATGTGTGGATGTCAACTCCTTTTCTTATTTTATATCATTATTGAATATTCCACAAGGGAAGTATTTACTTACATTGTCGGTGAAGTTAATTACAGTACCAGTGGTTGTAGAAGCTTTAGCATACGTTAAATAAATGGTGGTTAGAGCTTAAATGCATTGGTTGGTTAAAACTCAGGAAGATGAGAAAAAAAATATTTATTAACTAATTCAGCTTCAGCCTACAAAGATAACGAGGAGGACCCTGTTTATTGGTTATGATTGTAATGGAATACATAAAGAATCTGCCAGGGGATGGTACACAAATTCAATTTTCTAATTTTTTTTTTAAACGAATTTGGGTGTGTGCTTTAATTTTGTCAGGCCAGCTCAAGTAAAAATCTTTAACACAAGACAATTGCACACTCCTCACTAATTTTCAAATCTTTTTAATGTCTCTTCGAGGACACATATTCTTC